TCCGGGTATTACATGCATACAGAAAATTTGCATACTATAAACAGCATACATACAGGATACTGCAGAAATAGTAAGAGTAGTATGATAGTATGGCATTTCGAACACAGCCACAGACTAGCCCTTCCACTTCAGTAACCTATTTTATTACTTATTATTCCTACATATAAACAATACGCTGTTTGACCTTGGTACTTGAATTAAATAAAATTTAATCAAATATATTATTGGGATTCAATGAATTACAGAAAAATTTACAAATTATTTAAGTTAATTGTAATATCAAATGGGGGGGAACCGTTTCGCTTGGTCAAAAATCACGTGAATCGATGTCATGTGACTAACCGCGGAAGTGAGACCCGAGTGGAAACGCTTTCCTTATTAAAAGCTTCTTTGCTGCTACTCCCAAGTCCGCTCCGCTCCAGATCAGAAAATGGTTGTGTAAACAGACGGTCTGTAAGACAGGTTGCAGTCGCTGCCATCGGATGGTTCTGGCGGGATATCATCAAATATCTGAGGCCTTATTTAAGAAGACATTGTCAGCATTATATGTGGAGGTATTTGTTTAAAAGCAAACCTAACATACGGGTTCTTCAGGGGAAGCTCGGCTAACTTGTTAGCTTAACACTGTTAGCAGACGTGCTGTGTGTAATATTCCAGTTTTCTTTCTTTCATTTAAAACTCTCAGCTACAACGTCTGAGCCAGGTTTCACTTCCAAACTCGAGTGGATATTATGTATTTAGCTGGCGTTTGTGGAAATAAATGCGTGAGTTAGCAAGTTTAGTTAGTTTGGTTGGGGTGACAGTGGATGCAGGAGGCCTGAGTCACATCTGCAGGACATATTTAGTCTAAAACACAATTTAACAGCTTGAAATACTCCTCTGGTCTCAGTATATAAGCTACATGATCAGCAGGTGTGCCAAATGCTCTAAAGCTTTAATAGTTTGCTAGCTCGCTAGGTCATGACATGGTAGGAGGGGAAGGAGCCTTGCCCACCAGCATCCTTACAAATTTCAGCATCTTTTGGGGCGTTTTTGTGGTGATATCTGAAGGTCAGTGCAGTTTTGGAGAAGCAGGATCATCATCAGTGTGTGCTGATGCTGTGTGACTGGCCTGCTCATCTGGATCTGCGCACATTGCTGGCTGCTTGACCTCAGCTGGTCTTTCTCCTTATCAAGTAACTGAACGACGACCACCATGTCCGACAACCAGGGCAATGTGAACAACAACAACGTCCCACTGAACAACAACAATAACGGTGGGCCGAACCGGATCCGGAACCCCGCGATGAACCAGAACCCCCTGATCAACGTGAGAGACCGACTCTTCCACGCCTTATTCTTTAAGATGGCAGTCACATATGCCAGGCTCTTCCCACCATCCTTCAGACGGATATTCGAGTTCCTCGTCTTGTTAAAGGTGAGCTTTGACATTCTTTTAATGTATATATAAAGTGTATTAATTCTTCCCAGAAGCCCTAAACACGCTCTGTTTTGATGCTCATTTGTCCTCACCTGTTAGGATGCAGGATGCTATGCTCACTAAACATCAGGATGGATGGCGGTCATCAGTGTCATTTATTTGGCAACTAACCCAAGGCTTTAGGTCTTACCTGGCAACTGTGTGTGTATATATATATATATATATATATATATATATATATATATATATATATATATATATA